GCTATTGAAATTCATAACTCCTTTCATTACACAACACAATAAGAAATACATTTAATTCAAAGGCATTTACTACTTAAATGATTTGTCACATATGTGCTCGGGTTTAATTCATTTTAATTTGCGAGACCATAATCATTAAATTATAGATATGTTTTTATTGATAGTAATAATGTTATAACATAAATATATTCAAACTTTATTTGTTTCATAATTTATTTCTTGGTATTTTTGATAATTTAGTTTAAGTGCTCAAAAGTTTGTAAATAACTATTGAAATAAAATTTTTACGTTTAGTATAANATAATGTTATAACATAAATATATTCAAACTTTATTTGTTTCATAATTTATTTCTTGGTATTTTTGATAATTTAGTTTAAGTGCTCAAAAGTTTGTAAATAACTATTGAAATAAAATTTTTACGTTTAGTATAATTAAATTGTTTTTGTCGGTATATATAAAGAATCTATTTTTGTTAATTAAAATAAGTATCTCTTTAATGAATATTTGTTAAGTTTTTATTTAATTGTAATGCCATGATAATCATATAAAACTTATCGCAATTTATTTATAAAATATATTAAATACTATATCAAGCTATAATGCATAAAAAAGTTATTATATTAAATTAAATGCTCTTAAAAATATAATAAATTATTTTAATGAAATAACAAAATGTTTATACAAGTGTTCAGTATATTATAAAACAAATAAACTTTTAATTTGCGTGCGAATATACTTAATAATAAGTTTATAATTATAATTAATGCCCGAAAATGTTGTGTAAAATTTTGCGGTTTTTAAAATATTTTATTTTTATAACATTTTCACTAAACTGCATAATACACAACAATATTAATAATCACTTTACAGGAAATTAATTGCAATAATAAATATAAATTATTAACAAACTTTTTTGATAGTAAGGCAATCTAAGCAGGGTACAATTTCTAAATATCCCATTTATCGATACAATTTCAAAATTGTTTGACTATTTGCCCACAAGAAAGAAATTTTGTGCCATATTTGCCATCAGTTTGTTATTTGAATCACAGATTTGTTTCACTGATTGAAGTAACCATTGGTTTGTTGGCTGACGACTGCATGCAATCGATTGAATACTAAATCGCTTTTAAAAACTAAAAATTTATATAAATTTGTGTTGTTTTTTGTTTTTATTTTAAGAGTTGTGTTTCCATTAAAATCTATATTGAATGCAAAGCTAATGACTTTCTCTCCTATGATCGCAAAGAGTTTAGTCATAAAAATAAGTTTATTTTTTGCGAAATATACTCAATTCTGTGTGCCTTAGAGTGAAGTCTATTTTAATACTGAGAGTCAAATGTACTGTACATTAGTTTGTGCACCAAAAAAAGGTTTATTTTTGGCAAATTTTGTCCATAAAATTTTATATTTATTTCCATAAACTACACCAAATTCATAATATATTTTACAACACTATTGTTCAATGGATTAAATTCCGTGATAATAAAATTTTTATTTAAATCTTTTAGCTTAATAGTTGACTATTAAATCAAATATAAATTTCGCATTTTTAACAAAAAAAATGCTTATTAGATATGTTTTGCAATTCTCTAAAGACTTGTTGGTATTCTTGACTCTCATTTTCAAGTCTCTCTCTCTCTCTCTCTCTCTCTCTCTCTCTCGACAACTCTATAACTCAATCATCTGATCCACACTTTTCTTGAAAGGCAATACTTATTACGAGTTTTACATAAAATTTATTACCTTTTTTTTGTATGGAAAAAGTTATTTTAAACTACAGTTAAAAAGGCCGAAAATTAAATCAACTACAATATACTGCAGTCATTATAATGATCGGTAGTTTCGACAAAAAATTTAAAATCTAAAATATTCTGTATGTTTTAAAATTAGATTTAAATCCATTTTGAGTTTTATTAACTTTTATTACGATTCACTGAATATAACGTCAGTTAAAACTAAACCGTATAATTTAATAACTACCACTGATTGCACTGTCAATAGTAGATATCAAAATTATTGTATTTTACATAATATATACTGTTTTATAAATCCATTAGACTAACATTTACTATAAAATAAGTTAATGATAGGTATAGTTATCCATAAAGATGTGAACATTTATTATGCGAGATATAAATACTTATAAGAAAGTGTAAGAAAAAAATAAAATGTATCATTAATATTAATAAGTATAAGAATTTTAAAACTTTCTATTTTTAATATACGGTTTGAGATTAATTTGAAATCCAATTCATTTATCTATGATAAACGCAAACACTGTTACGAATATAGCGGCTAATAATTTATTACAATTAAGTCCACAGTCACGGAAAAAGTGAATTAAGTTTTTTAAGTCCATATAAACTCAAAGTTTTTCATATCGTATACGAAAATTGTTTTGATTCTCGGTTTTAACAGCAAATCCTTTTAGGAAGTTATCAACAGCTTATTCGCCAAATTATTTCACACAAAAACACATTAAAAATAATATTATATAAAACAATAGGTTTTTATGACAATCGCCTACAATAACTGACTCCTAATTGGAGTTTTTATTGAAATAATAATCATAATCGTTATGTAGGTTATATTTTTTTGTTTTATCTCTCTCGTTTTCGATTAATGTATACTATATGGGAGTTCACTAATAGGGATGAGATATGTAGTAATATTTTCTAATACCTATACTATCCAAACGATTCTCATAAGTCTGTATGAGTGGTCAGATTTTGTTTTTATTAATCCTTATAAATAATGTATAAATGTGATAAAATGTTAATTTAGTTTTAGATTTTTTTTATAAAATTGTATTTAGTAACTTATAAGGATTTATAAATATTTTCTCAAAAGTAAAAGTATTTAAAGGTTTGTTTCTGTGAGATAAGAGATTCAGTTGAATAGCAATCCTTATAAATGTTTTAAATAGTTTATAAAACACAGATTTACAAAAACTTAATATTAATATATTATTCAATGATATGGTAAATCCAATGAATTAATGGGTGAGTAAATGAAAGAGAGAGAGAGAAAGAGAGAGAGAGAGAGAGAGAAAGAGAGAGAGAGAGAGAGCCAGATGTAAGCTAAGCATTTGATTGGATAGGTATAGCCCTCTGCCCCTAAGCTATTGCGACCTTTTTTGCCTCATTTCCAATCTGTGGATAAGACTCTGGTTTCACTTCAGTCTCACTTCAGTCTCATTGTTATTCGAGAACTCATCCAAATCGCCAAAAACCACATCATTTCCAACCATTTCTTACCATTTCTTCACTTCACATATGTTTCACAAGTTTTTCACACAATTTCTCTCGAGTTATATAAAGTTTTGTGTTTAAAAGTTTTTACTATTTTTTGTTGTTTCTCTCAATGAGTTATAAACTCTCAATAATCGGAAACTTTTGATGTGTTTAGTCAGCGCTTTCTCAATGAAAGTTGGTTTTGATTATTGAACCGCTTTTTCATGAAAAAAGTATTTGATGTTTGAGTTGAGAGTTGTGTTGAAGATGTGTTTTAACAACCAGTATATGACTGTGTATTGTATTGAAGGCATTCAAGTGATGTATGAAATATTGTACGGTATTTAGAGTTGTGTTACACTTGTATTGAGTCAGTATTGGCGTCATTTGGACGACTTGGAGGAGTAGTAGTAAGTCATGTATTCATGTATTTATTGTTCACTTTTGTTAACTTTTCACTAACTATTAGACCATTAGTTTGTATACTATTTGATGGGCGCATGTCTACTATAACTGGTTTACTATAGAAAATGTGTTGGAAATCAAAGTTTTTGGTAAATCCTTCACTCATTTAACGACTATTGTGTGGACTGTTGGCCGCGAGTGACGGGAGTAGTGACACAACCATACAGACCATACCAGACAGGCCCGGATTGGTGTCGATATTGCTATGAGCACTGAATATTGCACTCGTCCCGGCCTGTTAGGCAATGATCACTTCACCACTGAACACAAGTCATACCATCAAAGCTATGATTGTTTTGTGCAAAACACCAAGAATTGGAGGAATTATGAAATGGTTGGAAGTAATGCCAAATAACCTGAAATGTGTTTATCTGAAGGAATCGCGTTTTGCATCTGTTCCCAAATAACACAATGAGTTTCTAAGTCTAAACCCAAGTCTTATTCACACTTTTATGATGCAAAAAAGGTTGCAATAGCTTCAGGGCATAGGGCTATACCTATCCAATGAAAAGCTGTGCTCACATCTGGCTCTCTCTCTCTCTCTCTCTCTCTCTCTCTCTCTCTCTTGTGCCACCGACTCGACTACAATGAGAACCACTACTGTACTGACATTCCCTATGCAATGGTATTCTATGGGCACAAACACTGGCGAAACATTGCCTCAAAACTACACAATAACAGCATATTATGTATAAACAGGGGTCAGTCGAGCGCCAAATAGTTGCAGCAAAGGGTAGGTATGCTATTGTGTCGTCTATTGAAAGATTGGCTCAACAAAAGAGTGGTCAGCACTGGAAAAAGAGCTCATTTTTCTGTCCTTTCATATGTCTCATGCATTTATTGGCAAATATTTTCTCGTCTTTTTGTTGCTGTGATTCTCACAATCAGATCACTAGTGGATCGCAAAAACATTCAAAACTATAACTCAAACCATATCTTAGCAACGATTCACTTAATGCTATACTTTTTCTGTGGGGTTAGTCAACATTTCAAAGACTTTTACCTCAAGACAAATGGTTAGGGTTTGCGCCAACCGTTCAATACCTGTATATCCCTCTAACTGTGCACTGAAATGAGTGTAAAAATATTTTTATCTGAATTTGGGTCATATAATGGGCAATCAGTGGATGCCTTTCACACAAAACTAAGTTATATTTCTTTTTGCTTTTATACACAAATTCAAAGAACTGTATCACAAGAGTAATGCATTACAACAAAAAGAAAAGCAATTCATAACTGTTTTAAAGTCATTTATTGCTGAAAATGCAATAAATGTTTATTCAATAAATTGAAAGAGTTCTCAGAAAAAGAAAATATTTTATTAGCGAATATAATTAAATGTAAATTATAAATCAAATAAAACATTAAACCAATTATTAGTGGATTAAGTTTTGGTGAGTTGTTGTGAAGAACTTGTTTGCTGTGCGGCTATTGCTGTCTGTTGTCTGTACTGCAAGAGCTCCACAATTGCTGTCAATTGAAAAACGTTTTCATTTTACAGATTGTCATTCAAATTATAGGGTTTATTAAATTGAAGCTAATTTAACTGTAAATGCATGTTAACCTAAGGGTCTACCAGCCCTCCCACCACATCCCATCCCTCTATCAATGGTTTGTAATGTATTTATAATAAATCCCATAAATATAACCCCAAATGATATATCGGTTGATATGTGATTGAAACACATTTCAAGTGATTAAAAACGGTGGACAACACGTGATAAGTGTTGCCTCCCGTCCCACAACTCTATGTCCTAAACATGTATCACAATTGAGATAACGTTATAATGAATGGATGGTTACCTTCCCGTGCGGTCACCTTCTCTTGAGTCAACTTCGCGTACTTCTCGATCTGTTCCGTCAAGAACTGAACCTTTCGTTTGAAGTAATCATTGGCTGCTTTGGTATTCTTCTGGACGTAATAACCGGTTCCGATGTCCACAACAAACTCATTGTTGTCTTTGATGAGCGCCGGCACATACATAGAGCCCGTCAGCGGCACCAGTATTTGGGATCCGTTGGGCACCTCCTCCTGCCTCTGGACGGCCAGCGCTGACTCATTGAACTTCATTTTGGCGTTTTGCAGGCTTTGGATCGAGTTCTCCAAGATCTCGATCTCCTAACACATCCATCACATCCAGACATACCATCAATTCATATGACATCATATTATCATCACATGTGACCACAACTTACGGCTTCCAACTGTTGCCGAATAGACGACAACTGCATTGGATTCATGTCATTCAAATCCATTCGTCTCTCTTTGGTGGCCATCGCTTCCAGTGGTTCCCAACGAGTGATCAATCAATCAATGAAAACACAATTTAAACACAATTTAAATCACTTTTTATGTAATAATCGCTTTGTTTTCACTTCAAAAACATAGACTCTTAATATGGGGACTATTCAGTGATCACATGACAATGAGATTACAATTGTGATGCCCTCTCATTGAAAGTCTATTTCGTTTACACCTAAACTCCTGTTGAAAATATAACGATATATTTGACTGAATTATAACAAAGTAAACATTAAATTAAAAAGCATTGCCTCCAGTGTTGCCATCGATTGGGTTTTCAAACATTAAATTATAGTTTTCATAACTTTCTCTAATTTATTCTGTAATTTCATAACCTAATAGAACCAAGATTATATTACCTGTATATTAATTATTCATAATTGGTTAGTAAAAGATAGGATTTGATTAAATAAATGAATTGCTTTAGTGGTAAAACCATTTAATATAAGGTTCAATAAATTGATTACAATTACAAATATAATCATAACTACAGTATAGTATGATCTGAAGACCTTAACCAACCATTTGTTATATATTTCAATAGATTCATTACCATTACGGTACATATCAAAAATCAATCAAAAAAGCAATTATGCGTTTAAAAAATATGTGGAAAGTGTGACCAAAATAAGTGATAACTAGATGTTTGAAATCTACAAAAATTTCACATTAGGTTTGATGTAAGAAAAGGCACTTTAAGTTCAATATTACATAACATTATAGACTGTAATATAATTAAAGTTTTATATTATTTGTATTATTAGTATCGTATGAGGGTTTGCACGAAGGAATGTTCAGATGCTTAGGATTTAGCTAATCTGAGGACATGAAGAATCACTTCATCGACGGTCTGATTGTTGAGCAAAGTCTTCACTGCATTATCATCGATGACAACCGTAAACAAGAGCTTCGAGTTCTCTCTTAGTCTGTCGTAATAGCTATAACTGTCGTGTTTGACAGGCGTGTGTCCGCACCTCTTGATCACCGCCTCGAGCAGTTCATCGACGGGTGCGTCCGGCCATCCAAAGCCTTTGAGAGTCGCCTCATCCACCAAAAGGCTCAGCAGTTCTCGTATGGAATCGCATAACTTCTGTTCGCTGAGCACACGATTGTTAACCGCATAACCACTGGAACCGGGAGAGGCGGCAGAGGGCGAGCCCTCGTCGTCGTCCTTGTCTTCCATGAGGATCTTGTCTAACAGATCCCGATGTCTTTTACGCATATGTCGCAGAAGACAGTCTTTGCGGATGAAAGCGCGGCCGCACTCGTGACAACTGCGCGGCTCCTCCTTCGTGTGCGTCAGTAAATGCAGTTTCAGTGACGGCTTGATTGAGAAGCTGTAGGATTGCAGACAATTGTGACAATCAGCTAATGTTAAGACAATTTTTACTCTATAGAAACAGAACATACCGTTTGAGACAAGTGGGGCACTGATGAGGTTTTTCTCCGGTATGCAAAACGTAGTGTCGATTTAGATCCTCCTTTCGGGTGAACTTCTTTCCGCAATCAGTGCACTCGAAAGGTCTGTCCTTGTCGTGAACATATCGGGTATGCATTTGAAGTCTAGCCTTTCGGTTGAAGATCTTTGAACAGAACTCGCATTTGAATCCATTCTGTCCCGTGTGGTAGAAGAGGTGCGCTTTCAGACCTCCCGCCTGAATGAACTGTTTTCCTGAATGAATACAAATATAAAGACTCAATGACTAAATATAGAGTTTTGGTCATCACTTTCATAAGTTTGTCAAGTTTTACTACACTTAATAAATACAAAAATTATGAATATTTGAAGTCAAAAATAAACCACAATTTGTGGATATAGTTTACAATAATAACCACTAAATCATTACTACCGGTAAATAAACACTAAATAAATAAATAATTTTGGGGGTAATGAGTGAATGGTGTTAATGAGGGAGGGGTGGGGGCGGGGAGGGCCGGGACCTTTGAACTCACCACAATAAGGACATTTGTGAGGCCGTATTCCCGTATGGATTCTCATGTGTCGATTCAAAGTGCCCTTCAGGGAGAACCTGATGTCACATTCCGGACAATTGTATGGTTTCTCTCCCGTATGTATGCGCCGGTGTTTAGTGAGAGCCCCTCCCGATGGAAACGCTTTGGGACAGAAGTCACACGTGAATGGCTTTTCGCCAGTGTGTGTGCGCACATGTATCCTGAGAAGGCTGGCCCCGTGAAACATCTTCGGGCAATGGGCGCACTTGAACTTCTTCTTACGGGTCACTTCTCCGGCGTGTACTCTCAGGTGTTCGCGAAGGTTATCCTTTCTGGTGTACACTTTGCCGCAAACCTCGCACGGATGAGCCGGCGGTGGCTGACCTGAACAGGGCGTCAGCTGTAGATGTCGGTCCAAATGGTACTTTCTAGTGAACACCTTTTCGCAAACATGACATCTATAGCCCTTGTCTTCATGTGCGGTCACCTCATGAACCACTAGTGAATGCATATCTGGAAACTCGAGACCACAGTCAAGACACGGAAGGCTTTTATTATTGTTGGCCACTGTTTCTGATTCATTGTCGACAACACTGTCTTTCGCTACTTTGGCCTTTCGTTTGCCTCTTTTCTTAGGAGTCACTTCGCTATTGACCTCAGTTTCGGTCACCATTTCCTCCAAAACGATTCCACTGAACCCATCGTTGTCTCCTGAATGCAAGACTGGCTCTGGAAGGGACTTCTTGGCCACGATTTGATTGCATTCTGCTTCCAATCAATCATTCAAACGATTAATACAAATATAAAATAGTTTTTGTAAGATATATACGTTTGAATTGTGAGACATCGATGCCTTCAGTGATATCTAGATCTTCGGTATCAACACTTGTAATCAATTCGTTGTTTTGATACTCATTAATGATTTCTGTCTCAATGTTTTCCAATTCAATTGTCTGCAATTCCTCCAAAACTGACACATTTCTCTGCAAATTGTTATCATTTATGAATCTATGAAAACAGCTTTCAATGAATTATAATCACATTATTCTTAGTGTTTGTGCGGCGTTTGGACAGCGGTTTGTTCACCACATGATTAGTTGCATTAGTATTGGTTTGGTTTCTCTTGGATCGCGTCACCCGTTTCTCAACCACTTTCGCCTTCTTCGCCATCACCGGGGATTCACTTTTCTTTTTGCGACCCATTCTTCAAATCATTGCTGAAGCTATTCAGCTATTTTTAAAACATTAAAACTATTTTTCAATCTTTTCAAAACTTTAATTAATTTTTTATTCACTGTCTGAATATTGCTAATACAATGCTGTATACTATACACTATACACTACACACTATACACTGTATAGTCTAATTATATAGTTGTTTCAGTAAGTTTTGTGTAATACTATACAAGTTTTGAAAGTTGGAGGAAATTCTAGTTTGACTGATGCCCACCTTATAATTCAATGTTAACTTGTATTTCATTGCTCTAATCACTACACCTTTCATCACTAATTCATTTAAACATGTTTTAGTCTAATAAACAACAATATATTTCAATATCTGTTCAGTTGATAACAAATGGAAAAGTGGTGGTAATGTCTAAACTATGGATAGGTTTGAGTTAATAATAAATATGAGAAACAATTGAATGAATGGACAAACAGTAGCCGTAATAGCCGTATACAGTATTAATAAAAGGCATTCAACTACAGTATGTCTACACTAAGAGTAACGCGTGATGACTGAATTTCGTGGTCATTGGATTGGCATCAATATAGTAGTGATGGGAAGGGATGGGAAGGGATGGGTGTATTGAACAGAGAGAGTACAGTATTGTATGTATTGTACGCCATGTCTGCAGCAGTAGTGGTGGTAATGGAAGTGATTGTCTGCAGAGCACTACAACTCAACACTCAATCACTGTTGCCTTTAAGGGGCACTCAATCCTATATTCATCACAATTTACATAACACTCAATACTCACACATTTGTCAATCGCTGCACTTATTGGACACACAAATCAATACAATTAGCAAATTATTTGATTGTAAACTCAATTAAAGCATTGATTTGAAGGCACTTTAGAGTTGTGTTGAGAAGACAAACAGATATCGAGATAAAGCCATAAACTATAGTGACGTACAGCTCGACAGTAAGGCTTCAATGTATTCATCAGAAACTGAGCGCACATTCACTGAGCGCTCAATTCAACTCATTTCACACCAAATGAACCACTTTTGCATACTTTTTGAAATACTGTAGTCATTGCTGTTTTACTGCTATACAATGTACAGTATAAATGAAAACTTGAATATAGCAATAGGATATAGAAATCTTAAATGTTTCAGTATTTTTAAACAATTTTAATTATTTTCAATGTTTAGGAACTGTGGATTTAGTATTCAATAAAATCATTAATAAAGTATCATTTTTGCTCAAATATCCTAATATGATAGTGCATTGAAATATTTGGTAAAATGATTTTATACGGTAATTAAAAAGTTGTGTATGACATAGAAAATACAATGACTGCTATTAATAACTTATAAAATCATAAGACATTTGAAATAAGAGTAAAACATTTAAAAATAATATTTGGCTTAATATCTATTCACTTATATACTGTATTAAATCATTTGATACTTACGGTATGGTACCTACAATATAAATCAGCAAATTTATATATTTCAAAGTAATAGCTTATATTTTTACAGGATTATTGTAAAGCTAATAAACATGTAAATATTCAAACTATTCTCATAAAACTTTGGTAATTGTATAAAATGATCATAAAAAGAATTAGAATTTTATTTGAAGTCTCTCTAAAAATATTCAATACATTTTGCACATTAGTTAACAAGTGTTAAATAAATGTTTATTTCAATACAAATTGACAATTGCAATTGAACAATGAGAATTTCTACAAATATTATACAATTTTATTAAATAAATTATAAGTTATTGTTTGCATAGTATTTGGAGTCGAGTGGAGACGGAGGACCACTCCAGCAGTTGTCGACGGGTGTGGTCTCCAAGTCATTTGGTTTGATGACAAAACGTGACAACAGATCCAATTGTGATGAGTTGGGAGACGACGGACCACTGCTCGACACGAAAGACGGCGGACCACTCCATCCGAAGCTTTGACAGGAACTGGTGGGCGATGCGATGGGAAGACCTCCTTTCATGTTATTCGATGGCATTCCGCTTGAGTTGGCATTGAATGGGATCCGCATCGGGGAGGAGAGGGGCAGACGATAGAGCTGTGAAGCGGTCAACTTCTCGAGGAATGATTCCAAATGTTTTAAAGATAACGCGTTGTGTAACGTCTCCAGCGGTCGGATCGTCGGAATACTGGAACAGCCCTCTGAATATAGACAACACATTTGTGGTGAGTTTATACAGTAAAGCAAAAAATGTATTAATATTGGAAAAAATGATACGAAAAACTTTACGAAGAATTTAGAGAAAGTTTAGAATTTGTTAATAGAGTTGTTATTGTGAGTCATTAGTAGTAGAAGTGGTAGTAATGTATTGAATTGTGTTTTAATACCAGCACTGGTGTGAAGAAGTGTTTCCTGAAGGTTAGGTGCGCTCGAAGACCCACTGATGACAGCTGTACTAAAAAGACTACTCGTCGACCCTAAGGATCGGCACAAATCATAGCAAAAAATAGTGCCAAACATAAGGACTTGCAATAATGGACAAACAATAATACAAATGAAATAATGGTTAGACTCTCACCGAAATGCGATAAATCTCCGAAATTACACATTCGTAGGAATGAACTCAATTGATTGGGGATTGAGTGCCTGTGGTTTTTTGCACGAGCTTCAACATATTGAAATTGGTTAGAATTGTTTATTAACTTCGGTATACGTATACCAATTTCAATAACACTTACTCTGACAGCCCGGTAGTTCACAATCTCCAGACACGTCATCCCAGCTGAGAGTGTGAGCCCTATCTTTGTCTATATGTTTCTTTTGTTGCTCTTTTACGACATCACTCTCAAGACTATGAGGTCTTTGAGAGGAAGCAGACAATGAATAGCTGCGAGCCTTATACTCAGTTGGTGTTGAAGTTTCTGTAATATCACCAGAATCTGAAAGCAGTTATAAAACATTTGAATTGAATAGATATTAAAGCCGACTAACTATTCCTCTCTTTACTTGTGGTCACAGTTATTGGAATCGGTTCTGACTTTTGGTTTTCGTTGGCATTTAGTTTAGTTTTTTCCTCCAATTCTGGTTCTTCAAGAATAGTCGGCGATTCCTGTTTGCCATTCAATCAAAAAGTGGTGTAAATGGAAATAAATGTTAATCTCATGTCTCATAAGATAGCAAAGGTTTGCGACATAAATGGAACTCACGGGAGGAGTGGACACACAAAAGACTTTATGTTTTTTGCAAAAACAGACATTTAATGGCTCTTCGATTGTTAGATCAGTTAATAAGTCATCCGAGTCTTCTTCCTTAATGCAAGGCTTATGAGTCGAATGGGAAAGTATTTTATCACAACTGTTAGAAGTGATTAGTTTCTAAAAGCAATGAGTTATTAGTTATTAGATTTTTATTAAACCATTACTAAAGGGAATGCAATTATTGAAGAGTAAATCAACTGAAACCTTAACAAATGTTCCGCTGCTTCTGGATTGTGGCCTAAAACCCGGACCTTTAATGTGATTCTTTTGCAAACAACAGACCACTCCGGGACTGAAATGCAATTCCACGTGAAATCTGTCGTCAGACGCAATATTTTTATTAATATTTAAGGTCTAGTGTCTAGTGTCTAGTGTCTAGTGTAGCAAACATAGCATTCACTTACCTATCGTCCGAAGTGAGGTCTTTTGTTTGGTCCTCGTATAGCATTATCACGATTTGTGTCATATAATTGAGTTCAGAGACAAGACTCACGTAATCCATAGCTCTTCTCCATTGTTCATCTTTAGTCTCATCGAAAAGTCCGCCTAAAGGAGAGATTATTTGATTTGATAGCCCAGTGCTACAAACCCTTCATTCAGTCATATTTACCCAAACGTAACACATTTAGAAGAGAATGGATATGACTTTCGCTCGTAAAATACAAACGAGTCCTCACGTGACGGCCCGGAGAAGAGACTCCATGAGAATAGTGTGGATTCAGACGATTAACACTTTCGGACTCGTCGTCTTCGGTGGCGTAAGTGTTAGTCAACAGATCTGATCTAATTTTCTTGAGAAGTGGCGAACAAATGCCTAAACCAATCGTCAACTTTTCCTTTTGAGTGATTCCGTACTCTTGAGGAATAACGAGATCTGCCAATGACTTGGCGTATCTGTAAAAGTCTTCGGCTTCTGGAAATTGGAGTACGTGTTGATTGTGTTGTAAATCATATTTAATACAGTCGTAAATGTCTGGTATTTTACTGATATCATATGAACCACTTTTCAATTTAAAATCCTTTTCTAGTTTAGACCATCTCCTCTGCATTAGATCCCAAGTCTCGCCGTAATAGAGATGATAATCATCGCGAGAATCGTCTCTTCTTGACTTAATTAACACATTTAACTCTTGTATAAATCCATAGATTTTATCACAAGCTTTGACGGGATTTTTGACAAAAGTTAAAGCAGCTTGGACGGAACGAGCGTGAAGTGGATTAAGAAGTTCCATATCTTCAGCCGTGAACTCCCTGTCCACTTGCATCATCTCATGTAGTCTTTGTTTGACTGCATTTTGATATTTACTTGAATCGCAATCGTTGTCCAGTAAACCATTAGTGTTCGCACTTTTAACCATTTGTACTAAAATCGGAGTTAACTCTCCCTCCAGTGCTAACAACCCCTAAATGAAAAGCTTATAAATGAACACAAATGAAATTAATTTTACCACAAGTGCTATACCTTAGCAAAGGCAGCCGCAGTCATTTGAACGCGTCCTATAAATTAGATTTAATTACTATTTATTTCATACCAAATGCAAAATATGGACAATAATACCCTCGTCTGATGCATAAATTTTCAGGTCATGTCTGAACGTACTGTGCAGTCGAAGCAAACCTAAACCTTGGGTTCCCGCGTATTCGCCTTCAGATTCAAATCAAACTTTAGATTATAATTGTCTGCATTTTTATCGGAAGTTTCAGATGAATGATAGATTAGTATTCGTTATTTACAAAAAGGTGACACAAAACATATTTCTGAAACAACCGAATGATTGACAGTAATGTCTGAACTTAAGGCCAGCAAACAAGCAATACTGAAGACAAACAAATTATATTCAATTCACACTTATTGTCCATAATTTAGGGAATTGGGTGTATATGATTTTATTACAGTCATTGAGTTAATTGTCTAATCTATTAAACTTATCTCAATCTTTTAGAATTATAACAATCTGTCCAACAATTGTCTGTAATATAATTGTAATCATATTTGATTTGATTGATACACGAAGACCATATAGAGTTTACTCTCAGTTTACTAACCAGGATACGATTGGAAAACAATATAATTTGTCGCATAACGAGTGCAAAAAAGTATTAATGAATATTAGTAGCTCTACAGCAATACCTTGTCCACCCGGATACATACAACGAAACACTCGGCCCAACTCCTCCGCTTGAATACGTCCCCCGGCAGTCAACTATACGTATAGTAATCCTAGACTTATTAACTATTCAAATAGATTCAGAATAGGTATTCAAGTATACCTCTCCGCCCCATTTCACTATACATAGCAATGAGGGATCTCCCGGATTGTCTGCACATATAATCAATTCATTAAACGGAATCACAATCTATATGTATATGAATTGAGTCAAACCCTCTTCACTGCTGGACTGACGGGGTCTGCCTTTGGGTTGATATTTGAGCTGAACTTTTCGATTAATCCCCGAAAAATGTCCGTACATTTCGAGCTGAAAATTAATGCAAATATAAATGAATGACTGAATGCAGGGTTTGTCGGGTACTGATTGACAACAATAGCCGTGCATTGAATGCAATCAATTGTGGACATAGTATTACCGTAATGAACGAACAAATACTGACCACAGATTTCAATTGTTCCAGTTTTGACTTATTCTCTTCAATCTCCGGATCCGGGTTTTGATCGATTTCGGAGATCAGATACCTCGCGATGTCCAACACTTCCTGCAATTGTTTCGGTTTCTTAAGTTTGACGTGAAATTTGTTGTCTTTATATCCGCCGTATTTGTCGAATATCTCGAAGAACTTCGGGTGTTTCACTTCCATCTTCTATAAATTAGATAATAAAAAACGTGGGGATGTCTTGTTTATTAAAGAAATGTCTTCAAATGTCTTACCATCTTTTGCTTCGGAGTTCGATCCCCGTGTCTTATGACAGCGATAGCACACCGGAGTTCCATCATTTTGCCCAAAGTGGTCGGCACTATAGGCGGGTCATCCAATTGGAAAGGTATGAGCCATGGGATGTGCAACTGTGGCGCCAGATTCCTCAGAATCATATTGCCCAAGATCTTTGCCGAGTCGTCGTAATATTTCATTGAATTCTTCACAAAACTAAAACCATTTACGTCACAGACATATGACTTGCCGTTAGCGCGAAGTAAATCAAAGCCACAAACAGTTTGTTTGAACGCCAGACACACTTTCCGGGCGTTGAGTTTCTCTGTGTTACTTAAGATGACAGGATAGCGAACTTCTTTGCCCTCCTTATCCCTCTCAACCTTACCGTCGAGTGCTGGAGATTTGCGGGCCTCCGCGTGTGCATAATCCGGTCCAACGGTGTATACCTTCACATCTGTGCCATCGGTCGGCATAAACTCTTCATAAATATAAGAACCAGTCTTTCGGACATGACTTTCGGGTGAATAGACACTACTTCTGCAGCCAATCTTTCGGAAGAGTCGTTGACTGCCACCGCCTGCAGACGTCGGGTAATAGATGTATATATTGTGGTCTTCAGCAGAAATGGGTTTCTCTACAAATGGTTTATTAAAGACAACGCCATTGATCTCAATGTGATCCTCGCATTCAATGAGTTCTCTCTCTTCAGGATTATGTGAGTCCCTGTCGAGGACCACATAACGGGGTAACTCAACGCCCGCTTCCTCTAGAATTCTATACACTTTACGTCTGTCCTGAATATCGTACTGCATATGAAGATCATTCACAATAAACGGTTCCCGGAGTGACACGTATTCAATAGCTTTGCTCAGAGGAAAGCCTTTCGAGTGAAATGATATCAAACAGTCACAGAGGGGCCACGTGTCTACCGGTTCCGACAGAATAGTCTTTTCGGTGAAGACAACCGTCTTAATGAATTCAAATTCGTTAAGTCGAGTCAATATCTCTTTCATTGGACGCGATTCTGTCTTCTTCTCCATCGCACAGATGCCGACAATCACTTGTTTGGGCTCTCCTTCATAACTGTCACAATCTTCATAGTCCTGCAAAATAATCACATCTTTTAAAAACAAGTCTTATTTTGCTTAATAAATACCGAAATAGTATATTCTATGATATTCTCCATTATACTTATAATTGCTTAAACTTTTAACAAAACTCAATTTTAATGTAATGTATGGTACTTTAAAACTTCTGTTCAACGCATGGGACTAAAGGCTAAACATTTAAAAACTATTTCAATGATCCTTGAGATTTGAATTGGTTTTCCTTCAAATCCATATTTTGGTAATTAATTAAACATTTATTTTTAGCTTTAAATAAAAGTAAAGTTGAATGAAAAGTTTTTACAGTTTGTAGGCAAACTTGAGAATTTAAACTAAATTTGAAAGCATATGACTACAGAATTGTTATAAATACAAATATCGTATAAGTGATTACAGTATAATGAAAGTTATAAATACTCCGAAGCTATAGAAAACAAAATCATTGGCATATTTTCAGTGCAAAAGTAGACAAAAATACAAAACACAGTAATTAACGGAAGAATGCATTACTTGTGCCAACTTTTGTCTGGAGAGTTCGTCATCATCTGGGATGTAGAAGTGAGCAAGGCGATTCTCATGCCGGTGCTCATGCAGGTGCTCGTGAAGGTGGTGTTCATATTGCGCTAAATGTTCCGGGTAGTGGTGCTCATGATGGTGATGGTGATGATGATGGTGGTGATGATGATGGTGGTGGTGCTGATCTAGGCATTCATGAGTTACATGGACTCCAGACGGCACCTGATGTGGCGATGACTGCGGATCGGACAGCGATGGCAAATCGGACGACTCTTCGGGAAAAGACATATTGCAATGGTTTCACAATCGATACAATTATTGATTCATTTGATATCATAAGTGCTTTTCTATAGACTATAGCATTGAATGGCAATTGTGATCATCTGATCTGATAATTGCTATAACAGTGACAGTAATTCACGTGAAGCAGATTTGCTGGTAATCGAGATACAAGTGATGTCTGAATTGGCTTCAAATGTCTGATTTGACACTTGAGTACTAATGAAAGCAGGGATTAGTTGTCATCTGTGGTTGTGATGCGAATAAATGTCATTCAAAACACAATTCAAGTTTGTTTTGAGAACTCAATGCTATAAAGAGTGCATTAATTGGCATAATATCACTATTTATGCAAACATTGCTATTTGATGCGATTGTGGTGAGTCTGTGCCTTACAGTACATACAGAGGAACTACACCTGATTCTTAGCACAGCCTCCACTCAACTCCAGAGCCTCTCTATATAACAACATACATGTACTGTATATACCGGCACTTGAGTGCAGTCAACACATACGGATCAATAATTGACAATACGCTACATATTGTAGAATAATAGCACCGGTACTCCAATCCCTTGACCACATCAACACCTTTAAATTGATTAATGAAAAGCAATAAAATAGAAAAAGTGTTTTAATGCTAATATAGTAATTGTTTTAAAACAGAAACAAATTGTAAATGAAACAAAGTTTTAAAATCGACAAATAATAGAGGAAAACGTTTGCATGCATTGAATCAGACATTAATTAGTTGTAAATTATTAATTACTTAGTTTTTGAATAATAAAACTGTATATTCATTCATATCATTAGCAAAATTATCCTAAAATTATATTAAATTAAATATACATTTAATCGTTATTTTGAAGCTCTTTAGACGTATTCGTGAGTAAACCGTATTTATTATCTAACGTGACATTCGCTGAACTCTTGTCTATGAGTTCCCTACTGTTCCCGGATCTCACGGTTTGAAAGCCTTTGTTGTCTTCATTGGAGTCGATGGCGCCGAGCGATGGGAACTCAACGGTGTCCCCGATTCGGGGCGCACCTGATTTGGACCGTCGGACGCCTGAGAACAGGGGAGTGGGAGTCATACTCGGCGATGAAGACGGTTGTTGTGATTGGTTCCGGAGTTGTGGCGGAATATATTTGCCGCTCGTTGCCGGTGGCGGTGCCACAGGAGTCACCACCGGAGCCACCGCTTCAGTCTTCTTCTCCTCACTCGCTTTGTCGGCGTCTGAGTCGCCATCACCTGAAGGCGCCACTCCTCTCCAGGGGCCGGACACCACATCCTTCTGCTTTTCCTCCTCGATGTCCTGCAACTGCTGTTCTCTGAACTCTTCCTCTTTATCTCTATTCATGTGGACAACAATTAACACTACTTTCCACTCCGCAGTCACGCATTCACTCACTTAATGGTAAGCGTTTGTATCCGAAGACCCGAATAGTCCTTCTCTTTGTCTTCCTCGAAGTCATTCCACTCTTCGTTCTCCTGTTAATGACAAACCCATCGATAATAAGACAATCAACTCATGAGGGAAGTGGTGTTCAGACCGGGTCTGAAGTGTTGCCGCCCGGAGTGAGACCACTCTTGTCTTTGGCCTTTCGTGAGGCTCTCTTTCCCGTCTCCTCTAACTTTTTGGCCATTTCTTCGGTCGTCAGGTTCTTCTTCTTGGGTCTCCTTTTGGAGTCCTTTTTGGCGAAGAAATCGTCTAAAGAGTCGGCCATATCTGACATGACATGCAAACACAATATGACATTATTTTCAAGTAGTGCTTGTGAGGCACAGTTGGCCGCACTGTATCTGTGGTTGTAGTCATCGGTGGTGCCGAAGACCTCGTTATATACCTGTTAGCAGACAATGAGTGAGTGATTGAGTGAAAGGGAGTGAAAGTGTGGCACAAATCGGCGATCAATTGATATCTCTTCACAACAACCGATACGACACGTGTTTCTCATGACGTCATTCATTGTCACCGTTTAGTCGCCACTCATTGGACGGCATTCAACACAAATGAGCGCTCGGTTTGAATGTCAACCCAATTGTGAGCATTGATTGAAATGATGGACTGCTTTACAGTGCAGTGAAAGGCGAGTTGAGTTCATAATCTGTTAGACCCTATCTATTCATACATTTATTATTAGAAATTAAAGGTAAAGGGTAATTATGTTATAATAATCATCCAAATCATTAATATACTAAAAGTCATATTACGGTATTACAATATAGCAATTGATAACTAATTTACTGTACATGTATTTGATATTTATGGTGCTAATTGTTATACTGTACAGAATAATACTGTATTACTGAACAGTATATATTGCATGTAATAATTAACATTTTCAAGAATTTGAAAAATTGTTTAAATTTCTGGTCTAGATATACACATACTAAGTTATCATTAAAGGTAATTTGCATACATTATAGATTGCTTTATCATACGATATTATGTAACTTGATTATACAATGTAATGGAAGTATATTGTCAATATTTTAAATAATTTGTAAATTACATTATTACAATTAAGTTAATTAATTGAATTAACTTAGCTCCTTAATTTCTTAAGTATACTATCGCCAGTTTAACATAAGTATACTCTACAATTATAATTTAGGTAATATTTTTAAAAACTAATTTAGCTTAATGGGAAAATAATTTTTTAATTCCGTTAAAACATCTAACTTAAAATTGAGTACATAAAAATACAATATACTGTATAGTCCATACTGTTCCAAAAGTGGCTAGCTAGCCACTTTTGTAATACATTTTTATACTATACTATAGTCCATTAGAATATTTTATTACAATTCAAAGATCAGTTACAGGATATAGATTTAATGTGTATTTAGTAAAGCATACAGAAATCTTATTATGTGGACAGTATGGTAGGTAATTAAAGGGTGGAAATTTTCCACTCAAATGTCAATTGGTTGAGGGAATGGCATATTTGTTGTACAGAATCTTGAAGGCAACACATTCTCAAATCACTAGCACTACAGTCGGCTTATATTCTGTGTGTCAGTAGTGACCACTTCTATACAATTAGAGTTACTTTAGTTTGTGTTTGCAATATATGGTGTGTTTGTAATTGTCCGCAACGATCAAAAGTGTTGGTCAGACCCAACAAATTCATTAACATAAGAATAATATTAATATCAAATTCTTTTCAAATGTAAGTTTTGTATTTTTAATTATATGAATAAAACTGTTAAATTGGGTAAATTAGAAATACCAAAAATAATATTATTAAAAGCCAATTATATATTATATGAATGTATGTTAAAAGCGCAAATTAAATTGGCCCTGAACCAATTTAGGGTATAAAGGGAAAACATTTTGTGAATGGAAATACTTGACTGTTAGGTTATGTGCTTTGGGAAGTTTAATAAGTTATAGTATGATACACTATAATTTGTTATATAAATGTCAACAGATATTGGCTTTAAAAAGTGTACAATTATAATTTGTAATCAATTGACTAGTTGCAATCATAGCCAATACTGTAGTGAATGAATATGAAAGTGTACATAATAGTAGTTCATAATAGCGAGTGTTAACTGTATGGTAGAGTACAGCCCATAGTGTGTGTATGACATACAGTATTAGGATGTGAGCCAATGGTGAGTGCAATGAGAGACACACCCGCGTAGGCGTCACTGAAGTGTTGTCTCAAATCGTCACCAATTCAGACATCAATTGAAATGAATTTACAGTGAATTTAGTGTTAGTTTTGTTTTGGCATTCATTTCATATCGAGTTTCTCGCAGTTTTCAATTCATTTCAAAATACTGACTTTGGGTACAAAATCACATGATTTTCATGACAGTCAACGTCTGTCCCATCACTCAATTGTGTCCAACATTTTCATCACTTTATTTGATTCACCATTTATTTAATAGTATTTAATCGACTCATCGTTTTGTTCATAGTTTTGATTATTTTATGTAAGTTTTGCGAGTATTTTGTGATATCATATGATTTATAATAACAATATAATTATGTAATATTCATGTCTTTATGATCTCTTGAATTGTGAATTAGTGGTCACTTATTGACGGATCAGATAAGCCATTGAAGATGAGGTTAACATCGGTTGTGTTGAGAGACTTAACCAAATATATTGATTTGTACTCTCGTTTCAATCCATCGCCGCTTTCTATCAAACAATTCATTGATTTCGGTATTTATTCAATCAATATATTCATTGTTTTACATCATAATCATTAGACTATTATTATTACTATTATTATTATTATTTATTTCATATTTTGTGCTTAATTTATCAATAATTCACTCAATTCTGTGTTTATTATGAAATCATTTTAAGAGTTATTTTTGTTTTTAAGTCATTTAGCGATTGATTGCAGAAATTGATTGCAATTTTGTTTTCCATATAATTCTTATCGCTTTTATTTACCACTAATTTGTAAAGAATTGATTGAATTCTGGACTCAATTCTCACCATTTGTTTCATAATATGTGTGTTATTTGAAGCCATATATTGAGAGCAAGTGTTGCCACGAATGAGATCTCTTGGAAATACATTTTTGGATATTTCTATTATTTTAATTAAATTGTATTAATTGTTAATTTCATTAATTTGTGTCAAATATGATATTTATGGTTTTCATATCTATTGTCTCAATTATTGTTTTTAAATGATGGCCTAAAATCAATGATTGTAACCAATTTGAAATATATTTCAATCAATTTCTCGTTAATTCAATATAAATGATGAGACAAAGCGATATACTGTACAAAAACTTGCGTTTTATAAATAATATTTATGTTACTGACGGTTATATTAATGTTTAGATTATGTTTTCATTACATTGACAGTGAATGCGAGCACTGATAGAGAATTGTCTTTTATTTGCATTTATATGAAACGCTGTATTGAATGCTAGAATTCATTATGGGATCTATGATTCACATAATAATGATTCTTATTATATACTATACAGTAATTATATAATTAATGAACTCACAATTTTTCTCAATTTGTAAGCATAATAAGTCTGGCAATTATTGTAACTTAATAGGCATAACTACAGTATTCGGAAATTTTTGACTTTATTTTTTAACTATTTTTATTTAATTGATAATTAATTGATAACCAATTACAAGTCAATATAACGCTATTATTAATATAAGATATATTATTGCATTTGTATTAAACTCTGTAGATGTATAGTATATTTTCAGACATTAGACGGAAAGTAATCGCAATTAAAACAGATTTTGTACAATGGTTAATATTTTTACTTGGAAAAGTCAAATATTTATTATAATATGTGGCATCACAGTAAACCATGTAAATTGTGTTATAATTACACTTAAATACTTGTCAATTAATATTTATTTTGATTCTTTACGAAAATTTTTTATTTATAAATAAACTATTTTATCATAGAATCTATGTTTTAATAGTCTTTCACTGAGTTTTGAACGCCAGATAAAAATAAAGGAGAAATCATTGCATAATTTGTACAAAAATAGAGTTCAAAGTCTGTTTCCAGTCATACAGTTGTGTTGAAAGTTTTGTTTCTAATGATTAGTAACACAAATCTAGTTATCATTTGACAATTTAATTTATTGCTAATTTTAACTTATGTATCAATTGATAGTTTTTTATTTTTTATATTAAAGGATCAAAAATATTTTTTGTGGGTTTATATTGTCTAACTTGTAAGAATACTTGGTATGACTTACTGTATATTGTTGGCAATCACTCTATACTAATAGACACTGTAATGATTAGACACGAGTGTTAACATAATGATGTGCAGTATATGATAGAATTAATGCTTAACACACGCCATAAGTAGTTAATCGCAAAACATTGTTTAAATCATTACTTACATAAAAGCTCTTAAATTTAAACGTTACACAACTGCTTATTAAAGATAATAAAATTTTAATTTACTCTTTATTGAATGCAATATACAGTATATTTTCCTATATATTCTACAATATTTTGCATCATTAGAATTTGTGGGAAATGTAATCACAGAATATTTAAAATACAGTAATTCAGTTATGTTTTTGCTTATACTGTATTTAGAAAGTTTTAGTCTTTTTGAAATAAAATTGAAATTGTGTAGCTGGCTATTTAGATGAAATATTATTAATAATAACAGATATAATTTACATGAAATGTGTGAACAATTATTAACAATGAAATGAAAACTTAAAGGTAGGAAAGCGTGCGAGAAGACTTCATTCATATTTTTGCGTAAAGAGCTACCGGTGCGATTGGCTAATATAATGCAAGAATTGAATTTATTGCCCGAGAATTTGCTACGAATGCCATCCATAGAGTTAGTGCAGAGTTGGTATAAACGGAGTTTCGATGAGATCCTGGACTTTGAGAAATCGGACGCAACTCTGAAGAGAACTCACGAAAACTTTTGCGAAACACTGATTAAGATAAGGAACAGACACTCGAATGTGGTCCAGACTATGGCTCAGGGAGTGATTGAACTGAAGGAAACGCATCAATTGGATCAACAGACGGAGCACTCAATCCAGTACTTCCTGAACCGGTTCTATATGTCGCGTATATCGATCCGGATGCTCATCAACCAACACGCGGCCCTCTTTGGCTCACAGGCCGATCAGGCCCTCAATAACCCTCGTCATATCGGCTGCATTGACCCCAATGTAACACTCAGTACCACTGAACACTGACACTTCCACTGACCATTCATTTCATTTGTATTTCTTGTGACCAATTAGTGTGATGTCAAGTCTGTTATATACGATGCCTATGAAAATGCGAAATTCCTTTGCGATCAATACTACATGACATCTCCAGACCTAACCATTGATCAGTTTCACAGTTAGTACTTATTTCAAACACCCTGCTAATGCAAATATTAATGGTACATCTATTACTCGCACATGATTTAGTCGAAAACTCTTCAGCGCCCGTATCTCTGGTTTACGTGCCCTCACGTATGTCTTGAATTGTATACAAGTGTTGTTCATACGATTAATGTTATGTTTTCATGTGATGGCAGATCTCTATCATATGTTGTTTGAGTTGTTTAAGAACTCTATGCGAGCGGTTGTGGAACACCACAGAAATGACGATAATTTGCCTCCAATTTTGGTCACTCTTGTGATGGGGAGAGAGGATCTCACTCTTAAAGTAAAGCATTCAATGTTTGTTGTAATCAATTCTAAACCAATTCTAAACCAATTCTATATCTTTAGATAAGCGATAGGGGCGGAGGTATCCCTCGATCACTAAGTCATCTACTGTTTCATTACATGTATTCGACGGCACCCCAGCCCTCCGTGTCAGGGATCAACTCAGCGCCGTTAGCCGGTTATGGCTACGGTCTGCCTCTGTCTCGTCTGTACGCGCGTTACCTTCAGGGAGATCTGGTCATCACGTCTCTCGAGGGCTACGGAACTGATGCCATCATATATCTGAAAGTGCTTTCCAGTGAAGCCAACGAACTGTTGCCCGTGTTTAACAAGACATCGAGCAAACACTATCGCTCGGCTCTGGGCACTCATGACTGGAGTTCCGGTGCCCTCCACCATATAATACAACAGTCCGACGCATACATGACTTCATCACAACAACCTATAGGTCTCCGACATTATAGTAAAACCACCACTCCTTCGGTGACATAACATTCGGCGTTAAGTAATAAATATCTCATTAATATATTTATTTAGTCAATACATTAGCACTGAGTGGTCAGTGCTATTGGTTTCCAAATGAATATTATCTCCGAATTGAATTCTCTGCGAATCAGTGATTCATTTGTTGTCTCTCTGAGCCGTTTGTTACCAAAAATTATTTGCAATACAAGTACTAAATGTCTAAATAAAAGCTTTATATATCCACAGAAATTTAGAGCTCATTTTTACGGAATTTATCCTATATTTTAAGCACTTTTTTGTATATTTAAAAATCTTTTTAAGTAAATATTTAGTACTTTATTATTTGTAAATAAAAAACCCAATATCATTGATACTCCCCTCCCCTCTGAATCATTGCAATACAAATACAAATATTTTAATTGCCGTAAAATATATTAAAAATCATAACACAAAATAAACTAAAAACTTAAGGCAATAATTGATGAAATGTAGAAAACTTTCTAATCATACAATAATATATTTAATATAATTGTAATTAAAATAAAGATAAGATCTGTTTATATAATTTAAAAATTATAATCATTTCTTCTATTTGTTACGCCTTTTGAATTGAATGTATTGAACGATCCATTGGACCACAAGAGGCCAAACTAGTAATACGAGTGCTGTTTGAGGCCTGAGCTCTTCAAACGGCCAAACGCTTGACTTATTTTTGGGACTCGACTTGTTCTTCAATATCAACAATATTTCAATTAATTCCTCAAAATTTGTGGCCATTTCTAACACAATACCCGAGTTTCTCGACTTAGCATCGATTCGAGAGCGTCCAGTCTGTTCACCACCTGATCCATACTCTGCTGGAGTCTAATTACAGCCAAAGCCAACTGTTCATTGATTCCAATCGAATAGTCGCGTGGATTAGACCCATGACCTCCTGGTCCGCCGTCACCTCTTGAGTTGTGGGGCCGTAGGTCTTGTCCGGAAGGCATACCTAATTCTGAGACAAACCCATTTCATTATCTCAGTGCAAAACTGTCAGCATTTGCGACAGTCTTACCCCTCGTGTTATTGTTTCGAACGGACGCCTCGTTTCTAGGATTTGTTGAATTGGATGGCGAGATGTGAGCGCTTGGATTGCTATCATTGCCGCCCCTCACAAACTGTCAGCATTTGCGACAGTCTTACCCCTCGTGTTATTGTTTCGAACGGACGCCTCGTTTCTAGGATTTGTTGAATTGGATGGCGAGATGTGAGCGCTTGGATTGCTATCATTGCCGCCCCTCACAGACACCATGTCTTTGATCGAGAAATCACTTCCATTTCGCTCAACAACTGGAATCTCTCCGTTCTTTTGAAAAAAAAACAAATTCCTTTAAATTGAGTTTTAGTTAAATGTGAGACAAACCTCTCCGATGTGATCATAAGTATCAGAGAATTCTTCGCCTTCGCTATCAATTCCTAAATCGTCTCCATTTGTTTGGAACATATCTTTCGGAAAATTATATGAAATCGTAATTTTAAAAATTAGGTATAAATACAATACATTTACTGAAAGCACAATATAGGACACTGGGGGCACTATATTGTTATTTTATAGAAATTTTAGAAATTCAAGGAAATACTGATTTTAAACACAAAAGCAAAACAAATTAGGTCTCATTCACTGAATACAGATTAATGATTGAATTTTGTGCAATCAATTGACCAAACATTTACTTATCATAATAAATACAATGTTGACAGACAATGAAGTATTGTGCAAACAAACAGTCAAATGTAATGAGATTTGCAAATCAAAAATAATGAGAAATGAGTGGACATAACATTTATAGCATATATTTAGTACATTTGACACACAATTAAACAACACTTAAAGCAAACCTTTATATGGGTTTTTGGGGATTTTCTTTCCAACTTTGACTGAATTGCAAACAAATAACAGACAAAATAATATAATAATTGCTATAATAGTGAATCTAAAGTGCAAAACTCACTCATTTTGTGCACAAGACGGTCACTTTCATTCTCGACTTGCAGTTCATTTGCATCGTTAGAGTTATTACTATCGTCCGATCCATTTGTCTCTGGGGGCAGAAACTCATGGAAAGGTCCCAACACTTCGTAAAACTCGGACACCGATTCATTGAAAGACATGGTTTCGATGACCTGTCCATTCAAATGATAACGAATTTCTATTTAAATGTCAATTAATGGCATTTCTCTCTGAAATACTTTTTTGAGTTCATCGACATATGAGTCCATAGCTGTCTGGGCGGACATGTCTCCCAAGCGCTTCCAAGCGTCCCATTTATATCGGTTGACGATATCATAAAAGGCAGGCTTTTTGGTGGTGTTGGGGCCGTCGGTCGCCTGTTTGTAGAGCGCATAGAACCGCAGCTTCAGGTCATCCGAGGGCTGGAATGGGCCTAAAGGTCAACGCAAACACACATTCATTCATAGGATATACACTTCATTGCTATTCATATAGCATTCAATTGCCGTATATTTCTAACTAACTTCGAAACAAGAATTTGTGCTAAAATTAGAAATAAATTAATATTTGTGTCAATTATTATTGTATTTGCTTTGAAGCTATAAAAGCAGGAAATCTTTTGCATAAAAGAAATAAATTATAAAATAAGTTTAATAATTGTAATAATTGTGTTTTTTTATAATTTTAATATTAATTACTGTCAATTCAATTTGCAAACCATAGAAATTAATATAATTTCAAAAAATTAACTCATTTTAAGCATTCAATGTTATATTTGCTAATTATATGCAAAATGAGAGCAAATTGTGAGAAAATGCGAGACTTTGTGAGCACACAATCAACTCATATGTCATTTCATTGACCACTAAATGGTTGTGATTTGACAATAGATTCACAATCTGTTCAAACATATTAACCATCAGATCATTGCATATATTCAATATAAACTTCATTTGAATGCAGATTCAAACCAAATATAAGGAAAACTATTAATTCAAAGACAATTTCCTCTTCAATGCAATCAATGAGTGATCAGTGGATGTCTGGATGTGTTAACTAATCCTCAAATGCTTACCATTTTTAGGCAATTGTTTGATGACATTGACGGCTGCCTTAAACTGGTCTTCGGTGGACATCTTTGGTCCATTGGATGATGTCTTGGCATAACAGGCACCGACACTACCATTCATGGATGTGATCGATGTCTTGGATTGGTTGTGATGGATGTGATTTGGATTATTGATGGCATCCATGGGTTAGTTGACAAGAGAAACGACAATTTGTTTACATTCACTGATATTTAAATGTATGAAACGTTTGACACATTATGTAATAGAGTTGTGTTGAGTGCAGCGCTCACTGTATGACTGGCTATGAGTGCAACATGAAATCAAATACACCTATGAATGACCCCATTGTTCGCGAGTACTGTAACTCTGTTTGCGAATCACCCGTACTTTCACATCACACTATAATATCGTGCAATTCATTTAGCATGCTACGAGACACAGTTATCAAGTTACTTTTCTTGTAACCGTTGTATGATAGGAATATCAAGAATATTCTTATGAATATACCGTAAGAAATGTTGTATTATGAACCAGTTTCAAACAATTTGTATAACTGTAATACAAATAATTGATTACTGGTACTATTTGATATGCAATTAATGGCAAAATGTAAATTATATATTAAAATGTAATAATTTGTGCAATTATCTCAGCAATGGTCTTATTTATTGCGTTCAATAATGATATTTCTTTAGTCCTACACTAAAATCATATCACACTTAAGATCAGTTTCGATTAAACTACTGTATCCCCAATAAAGCTTAGAATTACAGAATATTCTTGCAGGACAAGTAAATTTATATATACTGTACATCTAAAAGTGTGCTTGAATGTTAATATAAGTTAGAATTAGTTAACTTGTCAGTACTGTAATGAATGCAAATAAGAATGGTACCAGTGCAATTTTAGTTGACGATCTAAAGTTTAGATTCTAAACTATTTAATTCTATAATTTAATTAAAAAACAGTATTAATAAACACAATTTACAGAACAGAATATCATTTTATTATTTCATTAGATGTCAAAAATGATTAATTTTGTATAAAT